TGAAATTTTCATGATTGTGATTTTATTAGGCTGTGTTATGAAAGCATATACATCAAAGTAGATAAATGGAGTTAACGCATAATCTAACTGAAAGGTGGACCTAAAGAGGGACAGGGAACCTGCTCATCTTCATGTATCACCTACAGACACTCCTTGATAACAAATTTTGAATAGTAGTTAAGCAATTTTTACAAAGTTTTTTTTTAAATTAAATCATTGTTGGGATGTGAACCATGTTTACTGCCCATTCCGAATTACTTTGTAGGAAGTGGTGTTGGAGAGCTGCCTTCCTGAACAGGGCTGTTACGAAGGGAGTTCCAGGATTTTGAACTAGTTATAGGGAGAGGAATGATGATACAGTTCCAATCAGGATGGTGTGTGGCTTGTGAGAAACTGAAAAAGTCTGGACGTTTTTCCATGCACTTACCAGCTTTGGACATGATGTTGCAAATCCAAAGTCACCCTGGTTTCTAAGATATAAAACATCCATCCTGTCCCACGGTACAGTGTTGTGCAGTAATGCAGAAATCCCTGCTGCTATTGACAATCTTTTCCCTTTGTTTCATTTTGTAATCACATTGAGGAAGAATGGAATATGGTAAAGGAACTCTAGTGCTTAGAATCTCTGGATTCCTTTATTCAGTGCCAAAAGCATGGAACGCAGGGAAAAAGTTCTCTCTGTATTATTGGCAAAATTGTAAGAATGGGTTTTCAATTATGCAATACATTCTGGTCAGAAGAAATTATTTGCTTCCTGCTTGTGTTTTTGCTTGAGGGAAGTGGAGTGCTGGCTTTGAAATTCAAACAGGAATTTTAATGCCACATTCAGGATACCCTACGACATTAAAACTTTCATTAAGAGCAACAGACAGTGCAGCTAAATCAATATTCTAATAGTTTTCAGACTTGGGCTTCCCACTACATTTGCTGGCACTGGATGTTTCAGGAGAAGGTTCAGTCATAAATGTCAATGCCATAGGAAAGGAGTGAATCATTGAGCCATGATTTTATACTCAAGTTAGGAGTTTGATGGTTGCAGAGCCTCAATTAATAAACTTTAAAATCTCACCCTTTCAAGTTGAGGAGCTGAAGTCAATAAATATGGTAGTATGCGGAACACAAATTCAAAAATCTGATGCAGTGTTGCCTTTATTTTTCTAAATATTTTCCCCAAAGAATTTGTGCTCAAGAATCCATACCTAGGTACCTTTATACCTAAGATGGTGCCGCAAGTGGCAACTTGTAAACTTTTCACCGTACTCATGTAAGTACATGTGACAATTGAATCTAATTCAATTAAAAAGACAACCTGCTCATAAACTTTACTGCTCTAAATGAACTTAAGGAGAGATTTAGACAAGTGTTTGAAAACTATGAGGGGCTTTAAGTGTAAACCAGGCAGTCTACGTCTGCATCAGACACTGCTCTTACAATGTAGTGATTCCAAAGAAAAAAGGATTTGTCATGGCACATTAAGACTTTCGTATTCCTAATATTCCTGGAAATTTCTGCTCACCCTGGACTGAGTGTAGGAAAGTGGCATGACAGATCAGGCATGGGGCTGCAGGGTCATGGTGAGGTACAGCTGGGTATCCTATCCTTTTTTATGGGACGATGTCACCAAGAGGCAGCAGATAGTTGAGAAATAGGCACTAGCCAAACATACATTCCTTGGGAGACAGCAGAAATAACAGTGCAGGTGAATTAAGACAATCCATTGGAGATGAGCTCTGGATACAAGTGAATAGTTCAGAATGAGGCCAAGCTATTGGTCTAAGAGAAGGGTTAACTGTGTCAAAGAACAATACAACACAGGAACAGGCCCTTCAGCCCTCCAAGCCTGTAATCACAGAATCCCAGCGGTGCGGATAGAGGCCATTCGGCCTAACAAGTCCACATCAATTCTCCGAAGAGCATCCCACCCAGACTCACCCCCATCCCAACCTTACCCTGTACTACTGTATTTCCCATGGCTAACCCATCTAACCTACACATCCCTGGACACTATGGGCAATTTAACATAGCCAATTCACCCAACCTACAAATCTTTGGACTGTGGGAGGAAAGCGGTGTAGACACGGGGAGAATGTGCAAACTCCACACAGACAGTTGCCCGAGGGTGGAATTGAATCTGGGTTCCTGGTGCTGAGGTTGCAGTGCTAACCACTGAGCCACTATGTTGCCCTGTAAGCATGCACTGACACATTTTGCCCTTCCATATTAAAACTGTCTTCACTTACAGGATTTGTATCCCTCTACTTTCCTATTCATGTATTCATCCAGGTGCTTCTTGAATGCAGTTATTGTCAAAGGTTTGCTTTTTGAAAAAAAGTTATATTCTGGGAAGTGGGCTAGTTGTTGCCAATCTCAAACTGCCTTTGCATTAATTTAGCAAGCCACTCAGTTCAAAGGACAAGAGTCAGTCACATGAGTGTGGCTTCTGGGCCCACTAGTCTGGTGGAGATACCACTATGCCACTATTTCCTTTGCATAAGATTGGAGGGGGGAACAGGGGAGAACTAATCCTTCAGTCACATTCACAGATCAATGTCACACACGATATGCTAAGAGCAATTTCAGTCCTGACTGATGGAAGACAATCATGAATCATAATGGAGGAATCAGTCACCAATGAAACAGTTGAAGATGGTTGGGCTTAAGGAACTTCTGCAATGATGGTCTGGGACTTCCACAATCACAACCAGCTTCTTTCACATGAGGAATCCCACATGTACACAACACTCCTCTCAGATTCTCACTGTCTTCAGTTCTGCTGAGGCTCCTCGATATCACACTTGATGGCAAGAACAGTCACTTTCACTTCACCTTGAAAACTCAGTTCTTTTGTCAATGCAAAAAGTGAGACTGGTGAGGTCTAGAGTTCAGTATACCTGGTGGAACCCAAAATGACCACTGATGAGCAGGTTATTGCCGCTATTACTCAAGTTCAATTTATGCATGGGCTGAAGTTACCATCGAGGGCCCATCTTCTCAACCTCAGCCCTTGCGACTCTCAGGTTAAACCACGACCAGTCATCTCTCTAAGAAATCAGTCTATGGTCCTCTTTGACCATGGTGGCTATATAGTAATGAGTGTACTACATTTTTAAAAGTGAGTAACAACTGGTTTAACAATTATATGTCAACAGTAACAGTACATCCTATCTGGAATCTGGCATACCTCAGACTCCAATTCCATGCGATTTGATGTCATTTTGACATAGCCTCCAGTGCACATTCCCAGTAGCTGCCTTAAAAGTCACAATTCCCTCTACATTAATTTCTCCTCAATTCTTTTTATAGTACCCATTTTTATCATAAACATTTGATTCTTCACTCTGCAAGCTGACCACAGCTCCATCGTATCTCCCTTTGATTTGAGGCTGTAATTTCCAACAGCATTCTCAGTCATGTTGGAGCATGTGTAGGATGTTCACTTATTGTTTTCTTGGAAAGAAAACATTCATGAATTGGAATAGCTGCTACTAATTACGGCTAGTCTATTGCTATGACAGTAATGAAGACTGCAATTGAACAGCATGGAGTAATAATTAAATGGATTGGATAGATTATTTCTGTGGACAGGACAGCTGGCCAGCTTCCCACACTGCCAGCTAAACACTAGTGTTGTAATTGTATTGGAACTGAGCTTTGGGCCACTTAGGCTTGAAGCACAAGTCTGAAGGTGGTTGCAAATATCCTAGCCTTGTCTTTTGCACTTATGTGCTGGACTCCATCATTCTGGGTGGGGATGATTGTGGCACCTACTTCTCCGGTCAGTTATTTGTTCACCATCTATAACCGAATGCAGCACTACTGCATAGCTTTGATGGGATGGGGTAATTGCTTAGCTCTATCCTGTAACAGTGAGCCATTTTGGTTGAGCAAAGCAGGACATGATGACACTCTGTGGTCCAGGCAGATTAGGTGGCGAGTGACTAAGCCAGCTCTCTGCTAAAGTCAATAACCTTTGACCTTTTAGAATGCTTGTTACTCCTACTAAAGTGCACTTCCCACTTCTCTGCATTAAAGTTCATCTGTGATGTGTTTGTCTGGTCCACCAGTCTCTGTCTTGAGTCTGTGAGGAGGATAGTCACAGTTTGCAATAATTGATGGGGAAGGTGATAAATTGTGGCAATGTCAGTAGTCTAGCCTGAGGTTTCAGATTGCTTATGCTCTGCAAACATGGGCTCAAAGCCCGCCAGGGCAGATAGTGATATCTGAATTCAATAAAAGATCTAGAATTGAAAAGCTAGTCCGTGGCAAATATCCATCTCTCTCACCCTTGCCTTTTCTGGGCAACATGTCACTTCAGGCCACAGCAATGTGGTTGGTTCTGAACAATGACGTAGACAGGATAATTTCTTAAGGATACAGAAGAAACCACTGTTGGAAGTCTTTAAACAAGATGCTGATTGTCCCTTCAGGTGGATGCAGTGCCACCCTAATTTTTAAGGAGCATTTCCCTAGCACTTCTTCAATATTTATCCCTCACTTCACAGATTTGCTCGTCATTTAATCATAACCATATATGATCTGCTTGTGCTCAAGTTGGCTGCTACATTTGCTGTTGGGAGACTGTTTTCAAAATCACTACACTAACCGCTGGAATGGGCAGGCTGTTTGCTGAGGAAATGCAGGACATGCAAGGCTTGTATCGCTTCGAATTTAAAAAAGCACGAGACAACTTGATTTCAACATAATATCCTGATGGCTTTTGACAATGTGCATGCAGAAAGGATGTTTTCCATCTGCAGAAGAATCCAGAACAAGGAGTCAGAGTTTCAAAGTAAGGGATTGCCCATTTAAGACAGATGAGGAGAAATTTTGAAGATTGAGTGTCTTTGGAAATGATTTTGCTACATCATGGAGAAATGATTCTTGGTAAGCAGGGAGATGAAATTTCAGGGGAGCAGGCCGTAAGGCTATTGCTTTGCTCAGCCTGCAGTATGATAAAATTAAGGTCAACAGTCACAAATTTAGTTGTTTTATATTTGCAGGAAGAAACAGAAGAGGTCACAAAGGAGCCTAAAAGAGATGACGCTCCATTTACACACAAAGTTGACATGCGAGCTCGCTTTCAGCAAATGGCTAAAGCAAGAGAGGAAGAAGAAAGGAGAAGAATTGAAGAGCAAAAACTTCAACGGATGCAATTTGAGCAGAAGGAAATTGATGCAGCACTGCAAAAGGTATCGTGTAAGATAATTTCCAAAAACATATCCAATCTGTATCATATCCGAGTGAATGAAACGGTGGCTGTCTTTTGCTGACTAAACACAATGGCTAACTTGTATGTTGCAAGATTTTGATGGTTAAGTGGGTTGGATAAGGTAGAGGACATTTTTATCCATTTGCAAAGATAATCAAAACGAGGGGCCATCTGAGAAAGTCACCAGAAAGTTAAATGAAAACGCGAATTTCCTTATCCAAACTATGGAACTGGCTACCACATGGCATTATTGAAACTCAGTTTAAGGGGAAGCTAGACAAGCACAACAGTAAAAATAGGATATGTAGCTAGTGTTAACTGGAGTGGGGAATAAATGCTGACATTGATCTGTTCGGCCAATGATAAATCTGCAAAGTTCCAAAGTTCTGAACCAGAGAGGTTCTGAAAATAGAAGGCAAGGGTAAATCAGAATACAGGAAGTGATACCAAATTAGCAATTGACAAAATGTTTAAGCTCTATATTCACCTTAAATGCTCCAAAACATTTATACCAATTTTGCATTGTTGACATGCAAGTAATTATGCAGGAAAAGCAGCAGTCCATTTGTCCATGCCAAGCTCCCAAAAAAAACAAATGAAAATGTCATTAAACTTTCATGTTGAATTTTAAGTCTTTCCGAGGACACCGTGGATAACTCCTCCGCTATTCTTCAGAATATGTTCTTTGGGATCTTGTAGCAGTGAAACAAGTAGTTGGGCCTTAGTTCAACATTTCACCCTAAAGATGGCACCTTAAGCAATATAACAATGTTAAGGAATTTACTATACTGAAGCACTGTAGTCGTTACTAAAGAGTGAAACTTGCAATGAAACATTAAATTTCAGACTTTTCCTATTCCAATCATTGTGAATACTGTGGTCATGTTCTGATATATGAAGAGAAACTGGATTAGTTAGGAATATATTCATGGATATTCAAAAAATGAGAGCAGTGGAAATCAAGGAAAAATATTGATTAAGTTCTACCAGGACGAAACAGTAAACGCAGGAAGGATGTTCCAGATGACCAGGTAGTCCAGTATCAGGGATCACAGTTTAAGGATACAGGTGGCACAGTGGCTAGCATTGCTACCTCAGAGTACCATGGACACGGATTTGATTCCAGCTTTTGGTGACTGTCTATGAAGGAGTTTGCATTTTTTCCCTTTTCTGCTGAGTGCTTCAGTTTCCTTCCACCATCCAAAGATGTGCAGATTAGGTGGATTGGCCATGGGAAATTGCCCCATAGTATCTAGGGATGTGCAAGCTAGGTGGATTAACAATGGAATTGATCAGGCAAACGGCCCCTTCCTGCACTGTAGGAGTTCTACAGATCTAAATTTTTTTTTCAGTCAGTGGCGAACCTGTGGAAATCTCTGCCACAGAAAGCAGTTGAGACCAAAACATTGATTGCTTTCAAGAAAAAGTTAGAAACACTATGGGCTAAAGGGACAACAGGGTATGGAGTCCAACAATCAACTGTGAGCACACAGAATGGCCTATCCATGCTCCTATTTTCAATGCTCCTATCATCATACTAGGGGTGCGCTATAGGCCCCTAAATGTCAGGGAAAGACATACATAGGAAATTCTCAGGAGGGTAAAAACAATACGACAAATGAGGGGAATTTAAATATCTCAAACGTTAACTGGGATAGGTAAGGTCTGAAAGGCTTCAGGGAATGAAGATCTTGCAATGTGTCCATGAGAGCTTTTGAAATCAACAAGTAAGGAAGTCTTACAAGCTAGAGGTGTTGGACCTTATTCTAAGAAAGCAAGCCAGGCAATTGGTAGATCTGGCATAATTCAGTAAGATTCAATGTGATTACTCATGACAGAGATAGACCAGAAATAAAAGTTCTGAAATGAGGAAAGGTCAATTCACATCACAGCAGTGGAAAGCATTCAGAAGTATGAGTGCAGGGCTAGAATACTCTCATAAGGGTGAAGGGACCAACAAGTACAGAGAACACTGGATGCCAAGGAACATACAGGATTGGATAATGGAACAATAAAAAAAAACTTATGATAGATACCAAAGGCTCAAAATAATGGGTGACCTAGGGTACAGAAAGTGCAGGGAGTTTTAAAATAAATTAGGACAGCAAAGAAGGGACACAAAGAATTATCACTAGACTGTTAATACAGAGACCCAGGTAATGTTCTGGGGACCTGGGTTTGAATCCCACCATGGCAGATAGTGGAATTTGAATTCAGTAAAAATCTGGAATTAAAAGTCTAGTGATGGTCATGAATTTATTGTCAATTGTTGAAAAATCCCATTTGGTTCGCTAATATCATTTGGGAAGTAAACGGTCATCCTTACTGCTCTGACTCCAGACCCATAGCAAATGTTGTTGACTCTTAATTGCCCTCTGGATAATTAGGGATGGGTAATAAATGCTACCTTAGCTAGCGACGCCCTCATCCTATGAATGAATAAAACAAAAATTAAGGAAAATCCAAAGGTTTCTGACAAATATCAGAGGCAACAGAATGAACCAGGGCACGTGTAGGACCTATTAGAGATCAATGTACCAACCTGTGTGGAAGCATAGCTAAGGTTTGAAAGAAGTATCTTGCATCTTAATACACGACACAGAATGTGTTTAGAAGTCAGGGACAGGGGACTGTGATATAGTTGAACAAGTTAGTATTGAGGGGGCATTGGCAGTTTTAGCATGCTTGAAATTGGATAAGTGCCCAGGCTGCTGTGGGAGAAGGTTGCAGGGCCTTGAATGTAAGTTTTCAAATCCTCTCTGGTCACAGGACAGCAAATTGCAAAACAATTATTTGAGAATGGTCGGGACAAACCAGAAAACTACAGGCCAGTGAGTCTGTCACCTGTAATAGGGAATCTGTTAGAAAAAAATCTGAGGATCAGAATTAATCTCCACTTGGAGAAACAGGGATTAACGAAGGATAGTCAGCATGGCTTTATAAGGGGAAGATCATATCTAACAAATCGGATTGAATTTCAAGAGAAAGTGCCTAGATGTGCAGATGAGGTGAATGATCTTGACATAGTCTACATGGTCTCCAATAAGGCTTTTGACCACGGCTTCCATGGCACCAGTTAGGAAGCTAAGACCCTTAGGATCCAAGGCAATTTGGATCCAGAATTGGTTTAGTGGCAGGAAGCAGAGGGTAATGGTCAAAGGTTTTTTTTGTGACTGGAAACCTGTGTCCAATAACAGTTTGCTGCTGGTCCTTTACTGTTGATTGTGCATTTTAACGATCTATTTAAATGTATAAGGTATGATCGATAAGTTTGCAGACAACATGAAAATGGTTGCTGTGGTAATTAATGAGGAGGGAAGCTAGTCTAGGCTGAACAGTGACAAATGGAATTTAGTCCTGAAAAGTGTGAAGTGGTGCATTTTGGGAAGACTAACAAGGCAAGGGAATATATGATGAATAACAGTAGCACTCTAGAAAGTACCGAGGATCAAAGGGACCTTGGTGTGCAGGTCCATAGACCCTTGAAGGCAACATAATAGGTAGATAAGGTGGTGTAGAAGGCATGTGAGATACTTGCCTTTATTAGTCAAGGCAATGAATACAAGAGCAAGGTGGTTATTAGACTACAGCTGAAGTGGTGAGTGCAGTACTGGTTGCCACATAAAAGGAAGCTTGTGATTGCACAAAGCAGGATGCAGAAGAGATCCACCAGGATTTTGCCTGAGCTAGAGCGATTCAGCTAGACTAGATAGGCTGGGGCTGTTTTCCTTGGCGCACAGAAGGCTGAAGGGGGTTCTGAGCGAGTGTACGAAGTTTTGAGGAGCACAGACAAGGTGGGTAGGGGAAAACCTTTCCCTTTAGTAGAGGGATCAACACAGAGGGAAAAGTTTTAAGGTAAGGATAAGGCCGTTAGAGTACCAGGAACATTCAGCCAAAAAAAGGGTGGTAGATATGGGAACCTTCAAGACATTTAAGAACTATTCAGGTGTCTCTTGAAAAATCATAGCACAGAAGGTTATGAGCCAAGGGCTGGAAAATAGGATTTTAAACAGACAGATGTTTAATGACTCATGTGGACAGGATGGGCCAAAGGGCCTCTGTGCTATAAAATTAAAAATACTTCCAACAGAATGATCTAGGCATTTAATTTTCCTAACTCCCAACTTGCAGAAAGGGGATGAAGAGGAGGAGGAGGAAGGCAGCATTGTTAATGGATCAACCTGTGAGGATGACAATGAAGAACTCATTCGGTCTGGCGCTCCATGGTTCAAGAAACCCCTCAAGAATACATCTGTTGTGGATGGAGAGCCTGTAAGGTTCACTGTGAAAATCATGGGAGAACCCACACCAGGGGTCACGTGGTGGTTTGAGGGTGAAATGTTGCAAGACTGCGAGGACTATCAATACATTGAAAGAGGAGAAACTTACTGCCTTTACCTACCTGAAACCTTCCCTGAAGACGAAGGAGAATACATGTGCAAAGCTGTCAACACCAAAGGAACAGCTGCTAGCACTTGCATTCTCACCATTGAAAGTAAGAATTAAGTTTGTACAAAGACAATTTTTCTAAAAGTAAGAAACTTGTGAACTCATCCACACACACACCAACTTAAAACTAATGCTTAAACTTCCAGCTTTTCTTTCAATGGCAACTAATTTCTTGAATTTTCTGTTCTCTTTTAGCTGATGACTACTAAATCTGCTGGAATTTCCTTTCTGTCTCAACCTTTACTACATTCAT